AAAAAAAAAAAAGATGCAGGCTGGACGCATAGCTTGGTGTTAGGTTCAATTTTTTTTTAAACATGCAGAATATATTAACACAGACATACACATTCATATTCTGCCTCTTAATTTTATGTCAGCATAACTATAAATCTGATTTTAAATGTGTTTGCAAAAGCCATATTGCCATTTCTGCATAAATATTGACCTAGATACGCAAAATAATAATAATAATAATAATAATAATACAGAGCTTTGTGATTAATCTCTAGATGCCTTTCATTTTGTTTAGAAAATAAGATATAATGACATGGCATGATAATTAATATAAAGCAATCAGTGTTGAGTGGAGTCTAATACATTTTTGTTGCAGAGGGTTCAATACAGTGTCTAGAACCTACTAAGTGAGCAATAAATGTTAGTTGTAGTGATTGTTACCACCTTCCTTGGGCTCATAAAGGAAGAGTCATTTCAAGTGACCATTGAAAGATGGGTTTCTGATAGAAGGAGGATAGGGAAGGACAGCTCAGCAGAGGGGATAGCCTGACATCAGACACTGGAATGAAAGGGCAGGATGTTTTTAAAAGCTGGGAATGGTCCAGTGTAGCTGGAGGGAAGGGTGTGTGGCAAGGGGTGAGGGGTGAGATGGAAAGCTGAAGAAAATGCCCAGATAGTGAGGCTGTTGGAGTTTGGACTTAATCTGATAGATGAAATGGAACATTCAAAATTGAGCCTTTAAAGTCAGGCTTGTCACACTCTAAACCCTTCTAGAAGGATCCTTCTGGTTGGGGCTGGGATTGTGGCTCAAGGGGTAGAGCGCTTGCCTAGCATGCATGAGGCACTGGGTTCGACCCTCAGCACCACATAAAAATAAAATAAAGGTATTGTGTCCATCTACAACAAAAAATAAATATTTAGGAAAAAATGACTGACTACAAGTTTATCTCTAATTCACACATTGATTTAAAAAAAAAAAAAGAAGGATCCTTCTGGTGCTTTCTCCTTTTTCTTCCATCTTTCTACTTTCTGTCTACCAGGATTGTTTCTAGCTGTAAAGTTTCCTTGGTTTGAAGGATTTAATGCTCAAAGTTTTTTCATTCCCTTTTCTATGAAGTTATCAGATTCATAACCCTCTTTCTCCCAAGGTGGCTTTTAGGTATTTCAAATATATAGACCACTTTGGTGGGCAAAAGCGCCTTTTGTTTGTTCCTAGAGTGAGTTGGGAAAGGGATAAAACTCCTTGGACTAAATAGCTTCTATTTTTATGAAACATCATTGAAGAAGATGTCTGTTATTTTCAGTGAACAGTAGGCCCCATACTAATGAGAATTTAAAATTTTTAAAAATTATTGATAAATCTTTATTTTATTTACTTACTTATATGTGGTGCTGAGAATCGAACCCAGTGTCTCACACAAGCCAGGCAAGCGCGCTACCGCTGAGCTACAGCCCCAGCCCTGGATATTGTCATTTTTATGAAACATCATCATTGAACCATCAGTTATAACAAATGATTTCTGGGCTGCTTTGAAATCCTCCTTGTAAACTCAAACTCTCTAGCCTTGATTTTTGTGTGCCCTGATGTCTTAAACCATTTGAAAGGGAAAAGCTGCTTTTTGATTTTTTTTTTTTAAAGAGAAATCAGTTGTTTTCCTAGACAAAAACAAAGCAGTTCATTTTGGAAAGTTTTAAAGTATTTAGAGAAGCAAAGAAAGGAAAATCATTTATAATTTCACCATCATCCAGAGTTAACTATTGTGAACTTCATGGTCTATTTTTTTTTTAAGGAACACAGAATTTACCTCTTTTATAACCTTCACTTAATAGGAAGGTTAAATATCTTTTCATATCATTACAGATTCTTTTGTATCATATTGAATGATTTCATAGCAGTATATTTTATGTAGGAAATTGGGACATTATTAGTAAAATTTATTATATTTTAATTTAGAAAAAAGAAACTCATGATCTGAAGATAGCACATAAAGAAGGAGTGTTGTAAAGAGTCATGGGATGTTGTGAAATCTAAAGGGATACTTTCACAGTTCTGAATACCATAAACAATCATTGCAGGCTTAATAAATTGGTACATTAAATAGGATGTTAATAGACTCAATCTCTTTATACATCTTTGGGCTAAAGTTTTGTAGAATCATTTTGGGTCTGAAAATTTCACAAGAAATATGCTTGTGGTATCCCAGGTTGCTAAAGGTAGATGGTTTTGACTTCCTTGGTTTCCTTTTATGGGAAATCAAGCCATGAAGCTCTCACTCTGTGTGAGTTTCAATAGCACCTTGTGTATCAGGAAGCACGTGTCAGGTGATTATTTGAACAGTTATGGAAAGTTTCATGTTGATAAAGACTTGCTGAGTCTAATCTTGATTGATGAAGCTGGATTATTCCATACGCTTATTTCTTTTTACAGGCAGTGCTTTCCTCAGTGCTATTTTTCTTGCCTTAGCAACATACCAGTCTCTGTACCCAATCACCTTGTTTGTCCCAGGACTCCTCTATCTCCTCCAGGTAAGCACTTGCTGGTTAGAAACCAGTGCTCTAAGTGATGTTTAATACATAGCCTGGTCCCTGCTGGGAGGAAGGAGGGGAATGGATCAATAAAGGCAATGGGACTGGGGCCCCCAACTAATATCTGCTTGCTTCTACTTGAAAAGACAAACAAAGAAACTTGACTAACTTTAAATAAAGTAGACTAAGTGATCTTTAGTTCTGTATTTTGTTTTTGCAAGTGTGAAACTGCTTTTCATTTTAAAAAATTGTATTTGGGATCTATCAACCATCTTGTATTCTTCTCTCACCTAATGTACATAGATTCCTCTGAGCTCATTTCTTTTTAAGTTTTTTTCTTTCTTCTTTTTTTTTAAATAATAGCACTCACCAGTTGTAGCTCAGTGGTAGAGCACTTGCCTAGCATGTGTGAGGCACTGTGTTCAATTCTCAGCGCTGCATATAGATAAATAAAATACAGACCCATCAACAACTAAAAAAATATATATTAAAAATAGCACTTATTTTCTAAAGTTCTTTAAAAAATTAAATGTAATGGGTACACTTGTTGCAATGACAGGAACATCCTAGGTGATCAATAAATATGATAGTAATTCTGGCACTATACTAAGCACTGCAGGCATCATCTCACTTCAGCCCCATATGGATTTTGTGAGACAGGTCATATTATTTGCAATAGGTTTGTTTGGTATTATACATATTAGGCACATGAATTAAAACAGAATGTTGGGAGGTTAAATCATTTACCTAAGGTCACATGGCTGGCAAGAAGCATGCAGGAGGTAACACCAAGATTCAAAAATCCAGAAGTGTCTTGATTTCAGAGTCTTCATTCTTAACACTCTTACTAAACTAATAATATGCATCCACTTGTGCAAAAAGAACATTTGCTTGTCAGTATAGGTGACTTTGTAATATATCTTTTGGTGTACACAGTGATACATGATTAGGTTGGTCTTTCTTTTATTTGGGGGAATTTGAGATATGGTCTTCAGTAAATAGCACTGGATATTTGGGCAGGGTATAGTATAGAAATTTGGTTTTCTCTAAGTAATTTTCTTAAGTTATATTTCTCCAAATGATTCACTGGATCTGAGACTAAAACGTTATATATTCTTATTTTGCAAGATCAAATTGTTCTCCACAGAAAAAGCCAGTTGCAGTGCCACCATCAGTATCTACAAAGAAGTGAACCAGCTACCTCCCAGTCTGCCAGCACTGGCTTTTCAAGTTGGATTTATAATCGCTAGTTCAATTAGATGTGTCACCATACAATGAATTATTTTGTTTTGATTTTCTTTCTATATTCATATTGATCCAATCATTTTCCATATAACAATATACTATGTGTATGTGTATATATATATATATATATATATATATATATATATATATACATATGTATATATATATATACACACACACACACTTTTAGTTGGTGATGGACCTTTATTTTATTCATTTATTTATATATGTTGCTGAGAATCAAACCCAGTGCCTCACACATGCTAGGCGAGTGCTCTACCATTGAGCTACAACCCCAGTCCTTATATTTGTTTTATACTGTGCAGTTTATTCTTTAGAAAGTTTGAGCCTTAAAGAGAAAGCATGCAATCAGAACTTTTATGCAACTAGTTATAAAATAAATAATATAGAAAAAAAGACTAGGGGTGTAGCTAAGTGGTAGAGTACTTCCCTAGCATGCATGAGGCCCTAGGTAGTACCACCAATAAACAGACCAACAAAAACACTTGGGCTGACCTAAACTTTCCAAATAATTTGTTAGTCCATTTCTAAATACTGCTTTATATAAAATGACTTTTGTTTAAAACTCAAGGAAATTTCCTCCTGACAACAGTGCACAATAAAACTGTCATGAGGTTAGGCAACTCAGCTAGTCAATTTATTTAGTCTCCCTGCCCAAATATCCAGTGCTATTTATTAAGCACTCAATATCTCTGACTCTGCAGAGATAAAGCAGGTACAGTTGCCAAGCAGGGAGTATTCCAGGAAGACTGCTGTGCTAGTAACCTATTGGGTGGTTGAGCATAGAAGACACTGAAATTGGGAAGGTTAGACCATTGTCAGAGGAAGTTGAGAGGTGAGGGTCTGGATGCAGGGGATTTTTAGGTGGTGGAATCAGCTGGCAGCAGTCTGTATCTGGGAAACAGGAATAGGAAGAGTTTGAGATGAATTTCAGGACCGCATTTATGTAGAAATTAAAATCCCACCTCTGTTTTTTTATTTAAGAATATAAAGTGGCCTGAGGTCAGTAGGGCCTTCTGAGTCATGGTAGAGTATTTGGAAAATTAATTCAGTCACTTCCAGGAAACAAACACACCTGTTTAAATATGAGAGCGAGAACAGAAGAGGAAATTATCTTTTAGAACTGAGTTCCTCCTAAACCATTAAGTGGACCCATTAGGCCTGAGTTTACAGAGGTCCAAAGGCTCGAAAGAGAGAAATTAGAACTAATGAGCTCAGTGAAATGCAGCCCTGTGACAGAATGGGATGTTCCAAGTGAGGTAAGCTCCCTGTGAATCAGTTTTTAGGCCAATGGAAAATGGCACTTACTAGGGAGTCCTAGCAATGTTTTAAGTATCATCACAGGTGGTTGGATGATCCCAAATGTTCTTCCAACTTCCAGCTTAGAATGGTTTAATAACCACAAACACATGATGGATCTGCTCTTGGCATTCTGGTTTTCTCAGTTTCTAGAAGCCCTCTGCAGGCACTCTGGAATGATTGTATAACATACTATAGAAAAGCACAAGCTTGATGGGGACGTCTTGTTAAGATGGGAAGCAGAATAGTCTCATATGTTAACAGGGTGATGTCAGAACTCTGAAACCAACTCAAAGAACCCTTACTGGCCAAATTTGGGATATTTTGAGCACCAAAAGAATAAAGATTATAAGGGATTATAGAATGTTGAATAAATTAAAATCCATGTGTTCATAATGAAGTTCAGAAGAGAGTTGATTAGAGAAAAAAATTGGATATACCATCATTGTTCCCAATTTCTTTTATTTTTTTTAGAGAGAGAGAGAGAATTTTTTTAATATTTATTTTTTAGTTTTCGGCGGACACAACATCTTTGTTTGTATGTGGTGCTGAGGATCAAATCTGGGCTGCATGCATGCCAGGCGAGCGTGCTACCGCTTGAGCCACATCCACAGCCCCCAATTTCTTACATTGAAAATAACTGAAAGGAAGGAACTACCCAGGTACAATAGCTTATACCTATAATCCCAGCTACTCAATAAGCTGAGGCAGGAGGATTGCAAGTTCAAAGCCTGGACAACTTAGTGAGACCCACCCTCAAACTAAAATAAAAAGTGCTAGTACTGTAGCCCAGTGGTAGAGTTCTTGCCTACCATGCATGAGACCATTGGGTGGGTGGGTGGGACTGTTGCCTTACACTGAGCTTACTAGTTTTAGCTTCCCCAGTTGAACAAAGAGACTGCTTCTAAATAGATGAAAGCCAATTTATAAATGTAGAAATGATAGAATAGCAAATCGCCAATGAAATTATTGAACCTAGCAAAGATCATCAATGGATGCTAAAATCAAGTGAATAGTTTTTAGAGAATGTTTATAATTTGAATGGTGCAAAAATTTTATCATCCCCACTTTCCACCCTCTAAATTATTTATTAATAACAAAGGAGCTGGTGTGGTTGCAATCCCAACCGCCTGGGAGGCTGAGAGATGAGGATCACAAGTTCAAAGCCAGCTTCAGCAATTTAGCAACGCCTTAGGCAACTTGGCAAGTCCCATCTCTAAATAAAATATTTTAAAGAGGGTCAAAGATGTTGCTCAGTGGTTAAGGCCCCTGGTTCAATCCCTGGTTCCAAAAAAAAAGGAAATCACATCTGTACAAAGGAGTGTTCTAGAAGTCTCAGGTCAAACACATGATCCTACTCAAATTGTTTACAGTGGAACAATTGAAAAAATGCATTTCTTTTTTTGTTTTGTTTTGTTTTTTGGTACTGGGGATTTAATGCAGGGGTGCCTAACCACAGAGCCATGTCCTTAACCTCTGTTTATTTTTTATGAGGCTGCCTTTGAACTTGCAGTCTTCCTGCCTCAGCCTCCCAAACTGCTGAGATTACAGGCATGTGCCTCTGTACCTTGCTAAGATGTGCTTCTTGGTGTGATGCAATCTGTGTACATAGCATTAACTTTCAAATATTCTTACCTAAGAAGTTGGCTTTAATTAAGCCTTTAGATCTGTTTTCTAGTTTTTAGGAAATGAAAAAACAGAGGAATAATTTCAATGATACTATAGGAAGTTATTGAACACACTAGAATGGTCTGTAGGACAGTTGATCTGGTTCTCTTCAAATTGTCAAGGTCATGCTGGGCTTAGTGGCATAGCCCCTAATCTCAGCAACTCAGGAGGCTGAGGCAGGAGGATCACAAGTTTGAGGCCGGTCTTGGCAATTTAGCAGAATCTTTCTCAAGATAAAAATAAAAAAGACTGGGGATGTACTTTAGTAGTAGAGTACCAGTGGGTTCAATTCCAGTGCCATTAAAAAAGAAAAGAAAGTAAAAAAAAAAGAAAGACAAAGTCAATGTCATGTTTCAAGTTTCAAGACTAGAGAGACACAAAAACCAAATGGAGGACTGGGGGCTGTGGCTCAGTGGTAGAATGCTCGCCTAGCATGCGTGAGGCACTGGGCTTGATCTTCAGCACCACATAAAAATAAAATAATAAAATAAAGATATTGGGCCCACCTATAACTAAAAAATAAATATTAAAAAAAAAAGCCAAATGGAATGAGAGGTTCTTGATTGAATTCTGGTGTGGAAAAAAAGATATAGAGTTGTTTTAGGGGTTGTTAGAAAAATTTGAAGATAAATAAAAATATTAGGTGCTTTTAGAGAACTATTATTAACATCTTGTGCTATGAAGGAGAATATCCTTATTTTTATGAGCTGCATGCACAAGTGTTTTGGGGAGAAGTGTCATGATATGTACAACTTTTAGATACTTCA